CTTTTTAAAATTATCCATGGTTTTAGTGCACCTCCTCTAAGAACATTTGTTTCATTGAGTGCAGACGAAATGACCAGAACCACTCGATCCACTTCTAGAGGAGAATGCAACGTCAAAAAATGTAGAACAACTTTTGCTAAATCTGCTTTTTCTGTGACGGCCATGAGTCAGTGGAACACACTGCCCATAGAGATCATTGCGTGTACTACATTTAAAACATTTTCTTGGCTGACTAAGAAATGGCTTCTGAAAAAGCAAGTTTGCACGCACGAGTGAGTGAGTGAGTGAGTGAGGGTAATATTCTAGTAGAATCTAGTAGAAGTTGGGGAGCTTTATTTATTGTTATTAAACTTAATGTTTTGTGAATGATGTTATTTAAAGCCTGTAAATGTAAGACACAGTCATGTATCCATCTACATTGTAGTCAGTTTAAATGAACATAACACCAGCCTGCCCAGGGACTACAGGTGGAAATTAGCTTTGCAATAACCTGGTACATGCATCTCTGCTTTTGTGTTAATGCTTAACTGTACACTGTCCCTGTTCAAATAAAGTACATACAATACAATACAATACAATCAGTAGGAAGACTCAGCAGCCTGTTTCACTATAATTTGTATTAAGGCAAAAAGTGCCCCCCTGGTGGTCAGGTTGGGTATTTTAGCTCTGAGTGTAATATTACTATATGAAATAAACTGCTTATTTGCACGAAAACGGTGAAGATTTTCTAACTTTTTCGCGATGATTATATAACTTCAATCCATCCAGATTAGGAAATGACGTGGTAGAACTCTGTGCGATGAAAATCCAGGGAATTTATAGATGAAAAGTCAAATTAGTGGCGAAACTTCGGCCCATCATGGCCGACTTCCTGTTGGTCCCAGACATGTGCTTAGACCTTCCCACTAAGCAAGCCGACGTTGAATCAACGTAATTTGAACGTCGTTGTCCGACGTAGAATATAGGTCACTGGTGGGTGCAGAATGAAAGTTTTCTCGACGTCGTTTCCCGACGTCACCTCAACCTCCAAATGTTACGTTGATGGCACGTCAATTCAAGGTTTGAATGTGGTACGGAACCGGTCGGGTCTGACGTCCTATCAACGTCTCATATGACCAAAATATTGACGTTTATATGACGTTCGTTTTCAGTCGTTCCCACTAAGCAAGCAGATGTCAAAACAACGTAATTCCAACGTCATCTGGACGTTCATTCAAGGTTGCAATGTGGTACAGAACCGGTCGGGTCCGACGTCCTCTCAACGTCTTATATGACCAAAATATTGACGTTTATATGACGTTCGTTTTCAGTCGTTCCCACTAAGCAAGCAGATGTCAAAACAACGTAATTCCAACGTCATCTGGACGTTCATTCAAGGTTGTAATGTGGTACAGAACCAGTCGGGTCCGACGTCCTCTCGACGTCTTATATGACCAAAATATTGACGTTTATATGACGTCCATTTACAGTCCTATTGACCTCTGTAGAATGACTTAATAGTCGAGACATACTTTTTGCAATAGGCAAGGCAAGTTTATTTGTATAGCACAGTCAAAACAAAAGGAAACTCAAAGCACTGAACAAAAGATAGAAACAATCAAACAAGGCATTACAATTATAAATATTGACAGTAAATTAAAAAGATACAAATAAAATCTCTCAAAAAATCTCTCAGTTGAAGCAGAAACAGAAGTGTTTTAAACCTGGATTTTAACATTGTCAAAGAAGAAGCCTGTCTCACATTTCCAGGAAGACCGTTCCAGATTTTAGCCTTGTGAATCTGAAATGCAGCTATATCATGTTTAGTTCTGACTCTGGGCAATAAACGATAAACACAGCATTCAAAAATCATTAGAACAACTGTAGTAGAAGGATACCAGTCATTATTGCAAATGGAGCTGCATTAAAAATCATGTTTCTCTACATCAAAGTACAAGTTAAACCACACAGGGCACAGTGTTATGAACACTACTGTACTGAACAGTTCATGCCAAAGTAAAAAAACATGATTGTAGCGCCTATGTTTGGATCAGTATTAAAACAGGCACAAGCTACACTCTAGGTTCCCCAGATGTAAAAACACAATCTGAAAGGCAGAAGAATGCATTTATTGAATGTTGAGGTTCCAACATGTGTCCTCTCTTGGTCTTCAGTCTCTCATCACAAGGTCCAAGCACAGCACCTGAAAATGTGGAACATGTTTAGTTTCAACATAATGTGGCAAAGTGATATAACAACACATAACTTTCTATTAATGCCTCAAACCACTCGATCCATCACCATGTGATTCAAACCTTGGCACTGCACTAGCTCGAGACACTGGAAGACACTCCGTCTGAGAAACTTGGGATAAGGCTTTGGTCATTGGAGTAATTCCATGTAAAAAACAATTGCAAATGTGCATTTGTTTTGCACATGGACACAAATGAGCCCTGAAAGCTACTTACCCTGTATTACTCTACACATGTTGCATTTCCGAGGGGGCATTTTCCCCTTGTTGCTCTTTTCCCTCATCTTGAGTGAGTTGCTGAACAATCTGAGAAAAAGATAGATGTTTTCAAAGAGAATACACCAAATAATGGTTTATTCTAAAAACAACATATTAATACAGAACAACAATCAATGTGTGAGAGTGTGATTCTTACCTTTGAACACCTTCAACACAGTCTGACACCTGTAAGACTCAAACACATATGACACATTAGAAATACACACAGAACATTAGTTATTGCAACAATCATGAAATTATACTCTATGGATTTCACAATAATTGACTGCATTAGCAAAGGTAAATGTATTTTAATTATCATATGGCTGGTTTTAATGTTTATAAGAAAAAGTAAGAAATTGAATAGAGTTGCAAGCGCTAGTTAGCTTGCTACCAGCAGATGAATGGATATTTAATATTTGCAGCTAACAATAACAAAAATAACGACTGTAGTGGCTCATTTAAACAGCCACAGTGAGAAGAAGTGGAAGTCTCTGACATTGAAGACCTGGGAAGACATTAAATCCATTTATTAAACAAAGCAATACATGAACATTAAACTCTCTTTCTGCAGCAGGTAACATCTGTGTGCTCCTATGGTCCCACATGGTCCCACATGGTCCCACACCTGAACTCAACTCCAACTGATGACATCACAGGTGTCTAAATGATGGGAGTGTCCCAAATATTAAAGCTGATCTCCCTGTTTTTAAACTTAGTTTACTAAGTACTGTTGTCTTTTTGCAGTTTATAAACCATTGTGAAATATACAGTAACTTTACATTTTAGAATTGAATTATTATTTTAAAACTCAAGAATCTTAACCTTTTTTAACACATAGTTTGTTGGACAGTCTAACCTAAGAATTCTAATGTGTTAAAAATAGTTTGAAATATGAAAAACAATATCATATTTTAAACTTTAACTTAAAAACAAAAAATCATAGGAAAAAGATAACAGATAAATAATTCCAGCTTAAAAGAAGCCGTGCAGATTTGTACATTAGAATAAAAAATATTCAAAAGCAGCTGAGAACAGGTGGGTCTTTAACCTGGATGTAAACAAACTGAGTGTTTCAGCTGATCTGAGGCTTTCTGGGAGTTTGTTCCAGACATGTGGAGCATAGAAGCTGAATGCAGCTTCTCCGTGTCTGGTTCTGACTCTGGACTCGGATCCAGATGACATGAGGGGTTCTGGTTGGTTCATAAGTTATGAACAAGGCACTCAAACAACACTTTTGCACATGTTCGTTAAGGCACAGCAAACAGTGACAATCTTATCTAAAGGCATTAGGTTTTCACCCTCACATTTGAGAAGCATATGCACAGGTACAGTTGAATGTAAGAATTTGAATTTGTTGCGCACAACACCAATCACCCTCTCAACGTGAATTCTGAGATGGAAGGTCTAATCTGAGGCGCATTACAGTCAATAGGACAAGCTGGAAGGGTGAGAGCTTCCTCATCCTTCCTTGAGGCAGCTGCTGGGCTGGCGATGGGGGCTACTGGGCTTGGGCTGGCGATGGAGGCTGCTGGGCTTGGGCTGGCGATGGAGGCTGCTGGGCTTGGGCTGGCGATGGAGGCTGCTGGGCTTGGGCTGGCGATGGAGGCTGCTGGGCTTGGGCTGGCGATGGAGGCTGCTGGGCTTGGGCTGGCGATGGAGGCTGCTGGGCTTGGGCTGGCGATGGAGGCTGCTGGGCTTGGGCTGGTGATGGAGGCTGCTGGGCTTGGGCTGGCGATGGAGGCTGCTGGGCTTGGGCTGGTGATGGAGGCTGCTGGGCTTGGGCTGGGAGTGATGACTGCTCCAGATTAGAGCCCTGCACTTGAGCCCTTGGCCCGAGGGCCCCGACGGCCCGACAGCCCGAGGGCCGGGCTTCGGGCCGATGACCGCATAATGACCTCGGACACGGGCCGGGCTCGGGCTCTTCATTTTCAGAGCGGCAGAATAGATTTACGAACGCACCCACTGAATATAGCGTTCTATCACGCTGTAGTGTTTGTTGTTCTGTGTAGTGTTGTCATTGACGGCACATAGCATTACTTACAGGTGTGTTGCAGCATCTGGGCATCATACAGCTGTGTATCATACAGATGTTCACTCTGCACCACTCCGCACACACAGAACTCATTGCAACACATCACTACCATGTATAACTCGTCCCTCTAGCTAAGTCTGCGTTCATATCAGTGCGCGGCACTATATACTACGCTAAAACATTGTTATGGGAGGTTAAAAAAAAAAAAAAGGCGGGCTTGATGCGGGTTTCGGGCCTGAAAATTGAGAAACCATATCGGGCTGGGCCGGGCTGGGCCGGGCTGGGGCGCCACCCCCTCGGGCCAGGGCCGGGCTCGGGCCCAGATAATAGGCCCGTGCAGGGCTCTACTCCAGATGCTGGGTACTGCGCTTTACTTGCCGCTGATATCGCGCTCCATCTGTTTCTTTAACATTATTGTGGCCTAACCGCAAGGATGGTGTCCAGTCAGGGTGATTCTCCAACATCTCATATGATGGTTTACCTAGAACAGAATAATCTATGTAGTCAATGCTTTAAACTGGCAACAAGGTAGCATAATGTCATGAACAGAATCTCAACTATTTTTAGCAATCTCATATAATGGTTTACTTACATCAGATTAATAAGATTATTAAACAATCTGGAATCTAAAGAAATATTAAACAAGAAGGTAACGCTATTCATGGTTTCATAAAAGGGCTCAGGGGGTAGTGGAAACACAAGACAAAAAAAAAGTTTGGGCACCACTGGTTTAGAGAACATAAGAGACAGAGACAAACACACTTTGAGTGCCCATATTCCACCAACAAGGTAGGATAATGAGCAGAAACTTAAATATTCTTAGTTAACATTAATGGTTGGCCATTAAGCATTTTCATAGAGGCAACAGTTTGTTAGATAGTTAGCTAGGCAGCTAACTTAAGATGCACTTCAGTGTTTGCAACATTAACAGCTAGGTAACCTACACTTCTTAACTTAAAAAAAACAACATAAAGACATTTTAGGACGTACCCGAGTGAAAATGCAGAGAACACACTCTCATCGACTGGGGGTGAGATCGAAAGTAAGGTCCTTTCTTCTTATTGCAGCCAACCAAGCCATCCGGCGTCTCTTCGTCAGGTCAGACACTTGCGCTCCCTGATGTTGTATCCATTTTGGTGGCCTAAAAAATTGTAAACCGTTGTTCCTACGTTTTCCTTTCTTATTGTGTGAGGTACTGGAGCAGTTTTTCACACAGCAATGAGCTCCAGGCATGGTAAAACAGAAATAGCGACGACCTCCTTTGCTACCGAGTTAACAACAACAACTGTTTGCCGCTGGGATCCTACCAACATGGCGGAGACGGGGAGGGGCTCTGTGCTATGACGTCAGCTCCTCACTCTCAATAGATTCATGCACTGGCAATTCAAAATACAGATAATATACAAAATATACTTAACAAAATCCACGTATACGTGAGAAAACAACTTACTTTCTGTCTCCAACTCTTTTCAATGTGGAAATGATACATCTATATCTAAAAACTGTGCAGACTGTGTACTTACTAGAGAGGGTGATTCCAAGTAGCTAAATAAAGCAGGGCAGCGACAGAGGTACAGATTCAACGTCATATCAACGTCTGGGAAGGCATTACTTTACGTCCAGATGCACACCTTACGTCGTTTAGACGTGGAAAACAGGTCCTCGACCGACCGACTCACGTGTCAGGCTGTAAAGCCGTTATACTCGCGCGGCGCATAAGTGTGCGTCGGTTGTTTAGGGTGTTATGTATTATTTTGTCACAGTAGTCTGGATAAATGCCTGGCCGTGGTGTAGCGGTTGCGTAATGAGACTTCAGTCGCAACGACGCAGGTTCAAATCCCCGTCGGAAAACTTTTGACTTTTTACTTTTTAGCGAACAATTTTTCTGTTTGGTTAAAAACGAATAAACACTCAACATAAGATTATGTAGTGGCTAATAATAAAACTTGTGAACCCATGCATTTGCATACAATCTCAAGTGCTCACCCCTTATTTGCAAACTTGAGATTGTTAGCACAACAAATGCATACATTCACAAGTTTTATTATTAGCCACTACGTAATCCTATGTTGAGTGTTTATTAGTCTTTAACCAAACAGAAAAAAATTGTTCGTTAAAAATCAAAATAAATATGTAAAGATAATAATACACACACGTGGGCTCGAACTCACGTAACCAAGGCTGCACACATTTGCTTAACCACTACACTACCGTCAGGTACACTGGGATCGCTTCACAGCCTATATATTCTATTGCTAGATCAAGACGTACTGCGTCGGTCAGCCGATGACCTGTTTTCGACGTCTAAGGGAGGTCGGGATTGAACGTCATATCCACGTATATGGGAGGTCATTGTTTTACGTCCAGATGCGCACCTTGCACAGACGTCGTTTGGACGTAAATAAAAGGTCACGACCGACCGACGCGATATTGACGTGATCTGGAGGTTGAGTGGACGTCGGATGTTTAGTGGGTTATGTCAGGAAATTTGCACCAGGCTCTAAGCGTGATGACTGACAGATCATAGACCCAAAAACCAAAAAACCTAGAGCTCAGAAACTAATTTCACCTTGCAAGGTTAACTCCTGTACCTACAAATAGCTCAAAAAAAGGACACTGTAGTTACGAGTTTACGTGATCACGGGGGAAACGCTTCAAGCTTATCAGACTGCAAGCAGAGTGATATTCCCGAAGGCTCCTCCCCGCACACAGCTTTTATTTGACACAAGAAAAGCAGGCGTGGTTACATTTACAACATACCATATATAGTCAGGCAGTCACTGAGTTGGAGACGCCCCCAACTCAGTGTGCATTGTGCAAGCAATCTTACTTTAGCGGCCTTGAAAACTTTCCGTTGTTCTTATCAGAGACTTTCACATCCTGTCTCTCTGCACAATAATTTCACATGAACATTTTGTTTAACTTATAGAAAAGGCAGTTCTGCTTTATGCACGTACAATAAAACAAAAATAAAACCTGAACATAAACCCTGGACATTCTTCCACACCTTACTTCGCATTGGCTCGGCCTAATTAAAGCCGCAAGCGGCGATGAAAGGCCTCGCACCTTTTGCGACCGCCTCCTGGGCGCCAGTCCCACAAGCGTCACGCCAACTAATTGGCAGCCCGATCTGACCAGGATTACGTATATGAAAGCTCATTTATATGATAAAGTGCGTCCCTAGTGGTCACCACCGGGACATGCACCCTCTAAGTAGAGTAGTGTTTTGCTCGTACAGATGTAAAGATTTGGTTTTGCAACTTTGTTGAAGATCGGAAAGGTTTAGGTCAGAAGCCTTCCATAGGTGGCGCTGTAGAGTCATATTAGGTGTGTGTTTTCACACCATTACTCTCAGGCCATTACCAACTGTTAGTGATGTGAGTTTTAGCTCAGTAGGTCTGAGCCTGTGGTCAGGAGAGCATCAAACATGGAGAAATTCCCCACTACCTCGCATGAAAACGATAACAAAATTCTAACTTTTATGCAATGATTGCATAACTTCAATCCGTCCAGATGGAGAAATGACATGGTAGAAGTATGTGCGATGAAAATCCAGGGACTAGTACAAAGCCAAAAATGTGACACCTTGAACTGCCTGTAGGTGGCGCTGTTGCACTCACAGTTGGATTGAAATAAAACATGTCATGGTCACAGAAAACTGCTCTGTGGTGATGAAGTGAAATAAGTGAGCCTTTGAGAACTACAATACCCAGAATACACTTGTCTCTGTCCTCAAGTGTGTCCAGTCCTGTATTTGAACAGATGTTTCTCCATAATTTTCTGCTTCATAAGTTAGTTAACATTCTAAACCATGGAAAAGCAGCTGAAATAACTCCAGATTTGTCTTCTTTAGGGTTTGAAGTGACATGTGTCACTCCGATCGAGGTGGATCTTCACAGTGACGCCATTTTCAGATGTCGTGTGAACCCACCGCAGGATCTGACCTCAGACTTTGTGAATTTCAATTCACTTTATTCCTGTACAGCCCTAAATCACGACAGTGGTCATCTGAGAGGACTTCACAGAACCATTGTAATCACCAACACAGATTAGAGAATCAAATTGTTAAGACACAAAAAAGGTGAAGTGATTTGTAACAGAAAAAAAGATAGTCTATTCTATGCCAGGGATAAGGAAAGGACCATCCACCAGATGCACAATACAAAGGCTGAACAGAAATTGTACAGAAGGATTCGGAAAGTGGAAACATCTCTCTGATCATCCACAACGTAACTCAAGCTGACTATGGGGTGAAGTCGCACGTGACTGATTATAAGTAATGGAGAAGCTGTGAAAGTTACAATACAATACAATACAATGTATTCTTGTATAGCCCTAGGTCACAACAGAAGTCATCTCAGAGACTTAACAAAACCATTGAAATCACCAACACAGATCAGAGAATCAACAGTTAAATCACTTGAAAAATATAAAGCACACACAGAAGAAAATGTCCATACATGTTGTAGAATGCTAAAGTGTCCTGATCATCACCAATCCTTTCTGTTGGACACTAACTGTCCAACAAGACCCTCCTGCATCGACAAGGAAAAACTCTTAAAAAACCCAGTGGGAAAAAGTGAGAAACCTTGGGGAGAACTAGGGAAACCCACAGGGAGGGAGACCCATTTGAGAAAGGGGTCCGCTCCTCCGGACGGACAGGCTAATGATCTAGGACCTAAGCTAGCTACAGAACGTGGACCAGTGGCCGCTGAACGTGGACAGGTCCGGTGCAGGACTGAGGCGGGTCGGGCAGTCCGCAGGTGTAGATGGAGGAGGCCAGGCTCAGAGATCCCGTCATCGTACCATGAAACAGGCAATGGGACAACGGGTGAATAGCAATGAACAAACTACAGTCAAAATCCTAATAATGCTAAACAGATAAAGTAGGAACCTCCTTCCTACTTTATCTTGAGCACTATCCTCTCCTCCAGAGGATAGTGCTCAAGTTACCATACTTCTCCAGCAGGGAGCCAGTGGAGTGATTTTAACACCGGAGTTATGTGCTCCCTCCTTTTGGTACCTGTTAAGATCCTAGCTGCTGTATTCTGAACGAGCTGGAAGCTCTTCAAAGAGGCTTTAGGGCACGCTGCCAATAAAGCGTTACAGTAGTCAAGTCTTGAGGTGACACGCGTCACTTTTAGGAAGTGACGCGTGTCAGCGTCACTTCCTAAAGTGACGCTTTGGACTGAGTAGGATCAGGCGCTTTGGACTGAGTAGGATCACTTCTACTCAGGCGCTTTGGACTGAGTAGGATCACTTCTGTTTTCTCCGGGTTGAGAAGTAGGAAGTTAAGAGTCATCCACGTTTTAAGGTCCTTTATGCAGCACTAAGCTTTTCTAGCTGATCTGTCTGATTTGGCTGTCATCTGCATAGCAGTGGAAATTAATTCCATGCTTTTTAATAAGGTTTCCTAAAGTTATGACGTCTGGGACTTTGATTGTGCGCTGCTGCTGCCACCTGCTGGAGGAATGTGGTACTGTCTCTCACGAGTTGATTATATTTCAAACAGCGTGGGGAACAAAAAATCCTAATATTTCAAACAATATTCGTAAGCAGGCATATAAGAAGTCCAAGGACATAATAAGTTTTATCTATAATAAAAGTTAGACTTTAAACCTTTAAACCTCAAAGCGCAACAGGTTAAAATTCAAAACAAACAAACAAACAAAGTTAAAAGCTCAAAAGTCTTTAGGCCTTTTCAAAGTCATATAGTTAACCCTTCACTTTCCTCCATATAAATAGCACAATTAGTTTGTCCCAAAGAGCCTGTAGTTTCACATTGTGGAGGAGAGCAGCTGATAACTGCCAAATTTGGATCTAACGATGTGTCAGAGACCAAAAATACTTGAGATAGAAAAGAAAACTAGAGCTAGAAGCAACTGTTTTAGAGCCAGGAACTAGTGACATTTCTGTGGACGTCGTCATAGTGAGTTTGAAAACAGAGCGTTTAGACAGAAGGGATGTGCCTGATATTAGTTTGGAGGGAGCTAAACACAGCTGCAGGTCTGTGACTGAAGAGGAACAGTGCTGGGAGTGGCATTTACTGGTGAAACTCGCAATAATATCTTCCAAACATCCGTGTACTTCTGTAACTGGACTGAATGAAACCAACATATTACAGACTTAAAGTAAAAATGGTCTTGATTTTAATGTTGTAAACGTGACAAAATGTGCAAACGTTCAAGATGAGATGAGAAGTACATTGGACTATTACTGACTCTTTAACACATTTATAAAACACAGCAGTTTGGACAGAGAATTCACTGCGTTAGATTTCACTCTGATCAAAAGTCTCAAACAGTGTCAGAGCAGATGCAGCAGCCTGAGTCTAGTGTTGTAAACAAATAATTCTAAAATATTTCACAAATGCACAGAAGTACACGTCAGAATCACAGTACAGTCGGCTGAAGTACACGTCCCTGAGACAGCCGCCTCAATCATTTCAAACAGGCTCTAAAAGTTGGCTAGAGCTCTGTGTGAATCTTGATTAAAGGGGAAGTACCCTGTTCTCCGTAGGCCCCAAAGCTCCATTCAATATATACATGGTTCATATGAATGTTTAGATTGAACTAAAATGATGGTATAGAAGAAACCAGATGGCAAGCTCCTCCTTCATAATGCCCCTTAGCCCCGCCCCTTAAGTTCCTAACTCACTGACAGACGTTTTTGAGGATTTTCACTGATTTTGATGACCCACAGAAAATTGTGTACGATGACTATGTGAAATCTGAAACGAGATTCTGAAAGACCGGGCTGACAACTCTCATCATCAAAAATAAGTGTGTTTCTAGCTTGTTGCGTTCTCCTGTAATCCCCAGTCAAGTAGAGGGAAGTTTGAATGAAATCACCGGCCCCAGACAAAAAGATGACAATGCCAGGCAAGGAGTTATAGAAAAACTAAACAGCCTTACTCCTCAGTAGAGCCCTGCACTTGAGCCCCTGGCCCAAGGGCCCCGACAGCCCGAGGGCCCCGACAGCCCGAGGGCCGGGCTTCGGGCCGATGAATGTATAATGACCTCGGACACGGGCCGGGCTCGGGCTCGGGCACTTTCAGAGCGGCAGATCACATTTACGAACGCACCCACTGAATATAGCGTTCTATCATGCTGTAGTGTTTGTTGTTCTGTGTAGTGTTGTCATTGATGGCACATAGCGTTACAAGTGTGTTGCGGCATCTGGGCATCATACAGCTGTGTATCATACAGCTGTGTATCATACAGCTGTGTATCATACAGCTGCGGCCGTTCACTCCGCACACACAGAACTCATTGCAACACATCACTACCATGTATAACTCCGTCCATAGCCAAGCCTGTGTTCATATCAGTGCGCGGCACTATATACTACGCTAAAACATTGATATGGGAGGTAAAAAAATAAAAAAAATAAGTCTGGCTTGATGCGGGTTTCGGGCCTGAAAATTCAGAAATCATATCGGGCCGGGCCGGGCTGGGGCGCCACCCCCTCGGGCCAGGGCCGGGCTCGGGCCCAGATAATAGGCCCGTGCAGGGCTCTACTCCTCAGGACCAGGGGACAAGAAGGGGGGCTTAGAGCTGGGCGTGGTCTGGGCTGTGTTTGACAAGCGAGCACAAGCAATAGTTTACACACCAGAAAGTCTCATTCCACTTTTGTTTACACATTAAGATAGTTGTATCTACACATCTGAACCAAAGCCACAGAATTATCTCTGTTAATTTAATTTTAAACCACGAGATGTCCCCAGAACACTCCAACTCGCTGACATATTTCTACCTCTGGTCCCAGTCTGAGGGGTGCATGGATCTATTATAATAACTGGATAGGGTATTACTAGGGCGACTGTGGCTCAGTTGGTAGAGCATTGGCCTTAAGCCCAGAAGGTCGTGGGTTCATTTCCCACCTCTGCACCTTCTCCACCGACTCCCACTGATGACTGCTGTCGTTGTGTCCTTGGGCAAGACACTTAACCCCACTTTGCCCAAAGCCCCCACTGAAAGATCTAAGGCTATGCTCACACTCAGAGAGCAGCCGTCCTCCTGTGGACTCACCACCTGCAGAGGGTCAGTGAGGGGCTGGTGCTATGAGACTTGGGTGGCATCTCTGACTGCCACCCCCCTGACCCAGAAATGGATTAAAGGGTAGAAAATGGATGGTATTACTAGCTTGGAGCTGAAGAACCGATGTGCTCTGGGGATTCTCGCGGTACTGCAGACTAAACCAGACTCAATTCACGTGGGCTACCCAGAAATGTTTCCCATAGAACTCAAAGTAAATTAAAACAGCTCGACCTCAGCTGACAGAAAACCTGACAGAAAACCTACAGCTGTCACAGGGGGAGGGGCTAGGTGTGGCGGTAAGAGGACGTAGGAGAGAGCAATGGTGGTGTGCCTATAAGAGGATTTATGAATAACTCAAATATGAACTATAACAGGGTCAAAAGCTGCCAACGTGATCAGAGTACGTCCCCTTTACGTATTTAGGGCTTTTCCTACAAAATAAAAGCCCTGGTTAGTGTTCGAGTTCCCTGAAACAAGCATTTAAATAACATTCACATTTAATAAGCACGGTTTACATTTTCTTAAGGTCCAAAAAAACTGAGTGTAAGGTGTAAATTGATGTAAACGCTTCCAAATATTTGTGTTCTCTGGTACGTCTACGCTACATGCGACGGTCAGAGTAAAGTGGTGGTTATTATGGAATTTCTTGTGAATTTGGAAGCAGCCTTGGTCGATTTTAGTGGAGTGGCTTTTCTTCCTGATTGGTCGCTTGCTGATCTTGGTTGAGTGGCTCTTCTTCCTGATTGGTCGCTTGCTGATCTTGGTTGAGTGGCTCTTCTTCCTGATTGGTTGCTTGCTGATCTCGGTTGAGTGGCTCTTCTTCCTGATTGGTTGCTTGCTAAACTTGGTTGATTTGCTCTAACTCGTGATCGGGCGCTTGTGGTGGATTGCCTGTTTTTAAAAGTATGAGTTTTGTTAAGGATTTCTGTTTTGTTTTTAAGAATAATTAACTCACTTCTGCTGCATTTGTGTTTGAATTTGAGAAACAGAAGCACAGCTCCAATGACCAGTAGAATCTCAATCACAGTCCCAGCTATCGTCCCTAGAAGAAAAACACAGAATAGTTAATGGCAGCTCAGGATTTTCAAAAAAGAAATGATATAAATGATACTTTTGTGTCTGTGCCCACTCTTCCAGATGAACGAGAACAATTGAATGGTTCTAAATGTAATAGATCATTTAAAGTGGTCTTTGTGTTGACACCAGTTGAGTCTTGTTCATGACGTCCTGGTTTCAGGTCAAACCATGTTGATGTCTGTGTCCGTCCCGTGGATGTATTATTTGATAAAGGCTCGTCCTCGTCCCACTTTCACTCTATTCTACAACACTTTGTCTCAGATGATGTCTTTATTCTCACTCAAATGTCCAGACCCACACTAACATCAGGAACGTCCCCCGACCCTTCTGCACATTCAAAACAGAAACAAGTGCTGCAGCCTCTGTGCAGGGTTTGACATCACTCTTTAGGACTCATCGTTTTGCACTGGCTTTTTATGTTGGTCATGTTATAAATGTTTGTTTATTGTTTGCATCTGGGGTGGATTGTGAAGGGCTTTGGGAGCAGTAGCTCTAATGTGAGCTGGGTCTTACCTTTGTGGTCCTTGTCGCCTTGCCCCATGTCGTGGCCCTTTGTTATCACTGTGGAGCAGCACAGACAGATGTCAGTTATAACAGAACACTGTGAACTTCTATTCAGTAAAATACTTTTAGGGATTTTTTTCCCCCAGTACTGTCCTAAAAGTGAACAGTGCAATATTTACAAAAATGATGGGCGTTGTTTCAGCATCGCAGGTCCTACCTTCTCTGCAACCAAGCGTCAACTAACCTGAGCAGGTCCGGTCCTGCTCGGCACGGTCCTGCTCTTAAAGGCCAAGCCTTGACTTTAATGTCATTGACTTTAACTCAATGAGTGCCACAAACGTAATTTTACGGAAAGGCTTTTTTTTCTACATTTTGAAAGCAGACACTCTGACACACGTGTGTAAATTTGGGAATGCTATGATACATTTAACTGCTTATGTGACGATCTAAAACTCATTAAACACTTAAACGTGTGTTATTTATTGTTCATAACGCAGCTTTGAGTGGTGCCGCTTTGCCTCATATAGTGATCCTGGTCAAAGTCAAAAACATATTTACATGAGTCTGTCGCTAGGTGGCAGTCTTGACTCATCCTTTAGCAGAAACTTCACTGATGCAGTGTTTCGCTGCTGACGGAGATGAGGAAAAAGTGTCAAAAAAAGTATCCGCCAGACACGCCTGAAGAGCGCTTTTTACATCAAAGAAGTGAGTAAACTTCAGGGACTCGTGCTCAGGAGGAAGGTGAAGGGAGGCGCTCAGAAGGAGGAGGGAGGCGCTCAGAAGGGAGGTGCTCAGGCTGAAAGATCACCACGGACTGGTCTGAGCGAATAGTAAGAGATAGGGACCAACCAGGACCAACCGATTTGTGCGTGTAAGCGGTCGCGTATTCCTGCCGTTGTCTGCAAAGAGGATCTTTTTATGTTTGTATTTTCTTTTTTATTATATCCCTACACATAAACATTTGTTTTCTAATTGTACATTCGTATTGTTGTTGTTGCCATAAATCTTCATATGGATCAAATTTCATCTCCAGAGTTCATTGTAAAGGAGGTATAAATATTCATATAGATTGCATTTTTTGTAGCCTACCCCATGCCTATAAGATATATCTATCTTATAAATGTCTGTGAACCCAAAATGTATGTGTCAGAAGAACTACACCCTCAAAAATATGATATTTCATAAAACGGTCTCTATCTCCAGAATTTTCATGAAAGTTTCCGATCTTTTGCTTAGGATATCTCAGGGGCAACAGCTGGTAGAAACTGAAGGTTTTCACCATCTGAAAGTTCAAAGCCTCACCTTTCAAACACGTTATAGCATGTGATTATGGCAGTAACACAGAATATGCTTTGGCTTTGCATCAGGAAATATTGACATAAGGGCTGGCATTCTAAACCCAAGCTGTTGAAACAAGTCCATTCATGCCCAAAACAATACTATAGAAATGGTCCCAAACTAAACAGTAATGCATAGAATCATTCCCACACTGAATAATCCCCCTCTACAGTTTTAGAGATTTCATGACACTTTGAAGCAACTGTGGTTAAAGTTCTAACTCATCATTCTTAACATATGCACGAGGCAGTACTTTTCCATTGCATGTTTTGATTTCTGAAGGCCAAGCTACTGGCACCGTGGTGATAGCTGATTGGACGGTGTTCATTCCTCCATGCTGTATATTATCACTTGCATTCTGTAACATCTTTGTTCGTCCTATCTCTACCATGGACAATAAAACATGTCTTCTGTCTGAATTAAAGACTCAATCTCAGACTTTGACATCTTCTTCACAGTCATGAGAATTAATAAACAACATGAAGCAAGGATTACATGACGCTCCACTACACTTATGTGTGTGCGCCGGTGCCTCTGTTTGGGAAACCCATGGGAGATACACACGGTGAGTAGTAGTGCTCTCAATACTGAGGCAAACTGTGGAGCTCCGTCAAAACTTCCCCTGAAGCTTACTCACCAGTGAGGGTCACATTAGACTCCTGGGTCTGGGTCTGGTCCTCGATCTTCACAGTTAGGTGATACACTGCTGTATCAGCTTCAGTTACGTTGTGGATGATCACAGAGATGTTTCCTCTTTCCAAATCATTCTGTACAATTTTTGTTCGGTTTTTGTATTGTGAATCTTGTTCCAGATAGTCCTTACCCATATTCCTGGCGTAAACTATCTTATCTTTTGTCTTCACTTTTACAAACCACTTCACAAACTCTGAGGTCAGATTCTTTGTTTGGTTCACACGACAGCTTAAAGTGGCGTTACTGTGAAGATCCACCATGATCAGAGTGACACAGGTCACTTCAAACCCTGAAGAAGACAAATCTGGAGTTATTTCAGCTGCTATTTCATGGTTTAGAATGTTTAATACTGTTCAAATAATGTTTTAATCTGTTTGAACAGGACTGAGAAAGAGACAAGGGCATTCTGGGTATTGTAGTTTAAGATTCATCACCACGGAGGAGCAGTAGGGCGACAGTAACTCAGTTGGTAGAGCACTGGTCTTTGGACCTAATGGTCATAAGTTCGATCCCACCACGACCTATGTCATCTGGTCCCACTGATGTTTGCTGTCGTTGTGTCCCTGCACAGGGACACTTAACCTCACATTGGGTTGCAGCTCTGCTTGCCACCCCCACGACCCAGATGGAAAAATAAAAGGGGTAGAAAATGACAAATGACCACAGAGCAGTTTTCTGTGACCATGACTTGTTGAATTTCAATCAAAAAAGAAGAAAAGACAAAGGTACAAGGCTCTGTGTGTTTTATTTCCTGATTATAAAAACTCTGTTTCCCATGAATAATTGCGACATTGTGCACATGCGTTTAACTATTTTGGCGAATAATAAGTTAACATTTGGTAGACTAAACTGACATCTATGTGGACCATGGATCTATTATAATAACTGGATAGTGTGTTACCAGCTGAAGAACCATGTGCTCGGGGGATTCTCGGGGTACTGCAGACTAAATTCACGTGGGCTACCCAGAAATGTTCCCCATAGAACTCAATGTAAATTAAAAAAGCTCGACCTCAGCTGACAGAGAACCTGACAGAGAACCTACAGCTTTCACAAAGGTCGGATTTTGTGGGGATTTTAGTGTCCCTTGTCATCCTGAACTTTTTTTTTTCTTAAATCCTTCGGTTTTCTTTAAATCCACACTTTAGTGCCACAAACTCTGCTCGTGTGGCTCCCGCTCTAACTCCGCTCTGATCAGCAGCTCTGATTGGTCAGAGCGCGGCTGAGCCCCTCTGTGCACGTGCATGAGAGCCACACACACGTATTTGGCGCAACGCGTCATGGGAGATCATCCACTGTGCAGAACCGGTGTTCTGTGTTATGATGCAGGCTGATGACGCGTCCTGTGGCTAACTCGACAGCCAACAGCCCAGTCTACAACCCAACTGGCCTGTTGGGTTGATAATGGAAATAACCAAACTCTAAGTTGGAAGCTATTAGCGGTGTCGTTAGCCAGAGGATATGTCATCGGCCTACGTCAGTAAAATGACGTAGGCGGGAGCTCAACTCGTCAGGAAAGGTACTGCTATCACTCAGTAGCAGCGTGGTGTCACAGGAGCAGTTGACTACTTAAACCATTTAAACTTTTTACTAGGGCTGTCAAACAATTAAAATTTCTAATTGAGTTAATTACAACTTAAAAATGTATTAATCGTAATTAATCACATTTCAAACTATCAACAACATGATGCCATATTTTTCTATAAATGGTTGTTTGAATGGAAAGATAAACCACTTTGTGAGTCTGGTCTGTGAAAGGCGGTATATAAATAAAGATTACTTATGTAAGGTTAAATAGAGGGCAGGGCCGCCAGACCACAGCCAGGCCCTGGACTCTGTAAACAGTTGACCAAATGGGGAAAGATAGCTCACCGCGCCCTCAAAGGAACCATGGGGGTCAACCATAGGGTGCCATCGATCATGGGGATCGCCCACGGCGTTCTGGCGCCCCCCAGTGGACACTGAACGCTATCACACCCGGGACGGACAATTGCGAACCAGCACCCCTGGGTTCAGTACTCCAATAATCTGCATTGTGCCCTACATGTGTGTATCAATGTCAAGTAATGAAATGCGGTGTGTGTTTGTACATGTGTTATGATCGTTTGCATCAATCCTGTGTGTTTCCTTTGTAACCTGCCTGCTGTAAAGGGGGTTGTCCAGAGGAGACGCACAAGGATGACGTCACGGACGCGCCCCCTTTCACCACAAACAAAACCAAGCTGCGATAGTGCTTCTGTCTCTTGGCTCTCCCGAAACCACCATCGCAACTTTCCTTTAACTCTGCGGCCGCGCAGTACGTGTCTCCTACAACGACTGTGCTCCGTCCGCACCGAGGCCTTCCACTCTGAACGCAGACCTCCCTCCTGGCTCGGATTGTATGAACTTTTCCACCACCAGCCCCTGTTCTGACTCTGGACTCTACGCACGCAACTCATTCCGGACTGAGTTGTATATGCACGGACCCACAGTTGGACCGCGTCGCTGGCTTCATACCTCCCGCCTGCCCGGACAAAGAGGCCACGTGGACCACATCACCTCCACCCTATTCTCGCTCATCATCCTTTCATCTTCATCCTCATCTTTCATCACCCACCTCCCTTGAACGGCTCAAAAGTAAGACTGTTCTTTGTTAAATGTGTGATTTGAATGAAATGTATACAACTTCTGTTTAATGTGACCAGAAACCCTTTTCGTTATATTTTCCATCTTCATTTTTGTAGTCAATAAATCCACGTTAAACTTTAACTCAATCATCTGAGCGTCGTGTTTATAAATCCAGGATATCACTGGCCGATTTACGCACTCACTACCTATTAGATTATAAGACTGATTCGAGGCCGATTAGTTTGGATCTGTGCAGAAGTTTCAAATTCTGCTGGTGCCCAATATAAATAAGCAGATCCCCACTCGTGTAGGACGGCCAGCCTCTGATTTGGAGACCAGCCGCACTACACTACTGTACCTAAGTTACAATAATTATACTACATATATATTAAGGTTACCCTACACTTACTTACTTACTTATAAATGTCAACATAGTGTACATATGTACTGTATTTGTTTATTATAACAATAAATCCATAAAAAATGGCCTTAACATTATCAACATTTTGTCTTTCTGTTTAAACTTAGACCAAAACTATTGTTTGTTACAGATGAGGAACATTTCAAAACAGTCTGAAATGCAGAATGTCAGTAAATCTGTCATGCAATGGTAGTGGAAGGGAAGATTAGGTACCCCAGCTTTAATTTAGCGAGTGCGCTTCGGGAGAAGACTGAGAGAAGAGAAGGGAGAAGTCCAGCTTCGGGAGAAGTCCAGCTTCAACTACAGTATATTGTGTGCACGGGTTACGCATAGACACGCACACTACAATCAGAATAGTTCTGTGTGTGGTCTTGAATATGGTCACGTTACGAGTGTTTCTGAGTGTTATTATGGGATGCATGGACATGCGTTAATTGCGTAAAAATTTTTTACACAATTGATTAATTTTTGTATTAACGTGCGTTAATGTGATCATTTTGACAGCCCTACTTTTTACACAACTCACGGACTGTATGTCCGCCATCTTGATTTGCTTTGGTTTTGTAGACACACAGCGAGAAAGCCAAATACTCAGCTTTCGCCGCTGCAGTTATTGTCCTCAATCCAGAATCAGACCCTAATTATTCATTCGCCGAGTTAGTAGTTATGTCCTTACAGAAGGGTCTCCTATCGTGCTTAGCTTTATTATTATGCTTTATTTACATAAAGATATAATCGAGTTTGATGTGAGTGTACATGCTCACATGGATAACCCTAAATGACTTTAGGCCATGTGCTAGTTCATGAAAGAGGTCTAGAAATTGAATTCGGTTCCAGGATTGTGGGAAATACTTTCTTTTTGCTTTATGTTAATGCTAAATAGTTACAGTTAGCCAAAAAAAAGTTCCACAAACAGAATCCCTGTCGATAATGAGAAAAATGTTGTCAAAGTTGTGGTTTTGATCAAAATGTGGACATTTTAGCCTGATGTACCATGTTTGGGGGTTTCTATTTGCAGAACTACTTAGTTCATCAAAACCAAAATGACTTGTCCATAGAGATCACACCACAAATGATGTATTCCTGGAATATTACTATTATTGAAGAAATATTTCAATACCAAAAATTATTATGAAAAACAATCACATTTTACTTTCCTTCAAATACTTCAAAGATAATATCACAAATAAATACTATGAATCAAAATGAATAATAATTTTGAAAGAAGTTAGCATTTCTAGATTTAAACTTTGTAACAGAGTTGACTTTTTACAAAACAAATGAAAATATGAATGCACCTTTAGGCCATGTGCTAATGAAAGAGGTCTAGAATTTGATATTCGTTCCAGGATTGTGGGAAATACTTTCTTTATGTTAATGCTAAATAGTTACAGTTAGCCGAGAAAAAGTTCCACAAACAGAATCCCTGTGGGGAAAAAATGTTGTCAAAGTTGTGGTTTTGATAAAAATGTGGACATTTTAGCCTGATGTACCATGTTTGGAGGTTTCTAATTGCAGAACTACTTATTTCATAAAAAAACAAATTACTTGACCATAGAGCTCACACCAAAAATTATGTATTCCTGGAATATTACTATTATTGAAGAAATATTTGAATATCCAAAATTATTATGAAAAACGGTAACATTCCAATTTGGGCACTAAATTGGAAAAACTACCATTAACTGACTTTATTTCTAATGATTGTTGACTTTCCTTCAAATACCTCAAAGATGATGCTCAGCATGGTCAGCATGGTCAGAATGGGCGTGGCATGTTCAGCATGGTCATCATAGGCGTGGCATGGTCATCATGGGCGTGACATGGTCAGAATGGGCGTGGCATGGTCATCATGGGCGTGACATGGTCAGCATGGGCGTGGCATGGTCAGCATGGTCAGTCAGTCAATGATTATTATAGTAATGTATAATTGGGCACAATAATCATTTATGTATAGTCATTGTTGTCATCAGTGGCAGAGCCAGAAACCTTTTGAGGGGTGCGTCTGCAAAAGAATTTTAGGCTAATTATTGATTTTTTTATACCAAATCAAGCAAAGGTACATAGATTGACACAAATATTTTTTATTTTGTTTTTGGATTTCACACGAGGCAGGCCTAAGGCACAATGTTGGATGGAAATATTCCAGTACACTGGAACCTATTTACACCCATGTTTATAGCATTTCTCTATCAATATTTATATTTCTTAATGTTCAAATCTGTTTATAAA